TTGACTTTCGCATTCATGCATCTTTCATTATCCGTATGTGAGTATGCAGGAGTGTCACAGATTATGCAACGCGTTAGAGTCGTTGTGAAAGAGTTGCGAAGCAATGAAACTAGCACTACTGTAGTACAACATTGGAAAGAAATAAGTATTAACTTACAGATTGGAGTCAGAGTTGAATAACAATATGACGTTGAACTTCCTTATAGTCTTGCAGTTCGAATGAAGTCACACGAAGCCAGTCGAGTAACTGATTTGGTGCGATGTTGGGTTATCTTATATCCGAGGTCTATCCCCATCCTAATCCATCCTTGCTGGTTTGTGGTGGGCATGTAATCCTCTTACTGGAGGATGGTCACACAATGACATTAAGCCGTGTTGAGTGAAAATCTTAACTGATCTACTCAAGATCTTCCCGCTCACCTTATCAGCTACTTTGACCGAAATCCGCTTAACGGGGGAATTCCCATTGCGATCTCAAAAAAATCTGAGGGAAAATTTTGTCGTGTCGATGTTTCCTTGTTTCGATGTTTTGTTATGTCGATGTTTTGTCGCGTCGATGTTTAGTTACGTCGATGTTTTGTCATGTCGATGTTTTATCGCGTCGATGTTTTGTCGTTTCGATGTTTTGTCGTCGATGTTTAGTCGTTTCGATGTTTTGGTGTCGATGTTTTGACGTGATACCCCCTGATGGTGCCCCCTGCGAGGACCCGAACGCGGAGTGCCTCGACGATGGAAGCGGCGCTTCCATCTGCCAGTGCAAGACGGGGTTCTTGGTGGACGAGGGAGTCTGCAGTGAGATCACCTTTTTCCCCCTCGGTTTTTACGTTTTCCATAGGGTCGAATGGGATCGAGGAGGTTCCAGATTTCTTCAGTTTTGACTTCGTAGTGTTGCCACACGTTTCGTTCCGGCGATAAATAGCAGAGCGACTCCGATTTGTCCTCGACCGGTAGACCTGTCCCGAGACTGGACGTTTAATCTTGACCTGTTCATCGGTCAACTTTGTCCTACATTAGGAAAAAAAAAAAGGATGCGCACTGCGCTGAGGTCACTGAAACGTGCACGAGCTGGAAAATTTTCCCATTTACAGAAATTGAATTGATTTAAATGAATTTATCTCTGTTCTCGCTGGATATATTTTCACGGGGCTTACAGTGAGCATGGCCGATATGTTCCCAACGGAAAGACCAAATTTCATCCAAGCTGGGTTTGCCGAAGGAAAGCCAGGAAAGTCAGTTTTCAAAAGTGCTTACTGTACCATGAAAAAGGGCGTTTGCGTAAGACTGTAGCGAAAGTCTTCAATCACGTATTGCTGTAATTACGCTACTATTTGTCTCTCGCAACGCAAGATCTCATCGTTGCAAAGTCGACTTGGTCCTAACAAGGAGAGAAGGATGAGAATCGGCCAATGGTTGCTTCTTCCACTGACAGGAATACCAACTGGCGGAGAGTGCACGGACTCGTTCGAATGTATCAGCAATGCGGAATGCACTGGGGACCCCCCAACATGCCAGTGTTCCGAGGGATTCCTGGAGGAATCGGGACATTGCAGTGAGTTCGCTTGCGACCCTTTCGCTGTATGGCATTCTAACCTTCCGCTGCGTGGCATTCTCAGCGATTGTTCCGTTTGCCCACGTCCGTATAGAAATTTATTCTGTTTTTGATTAGACTTCAGTGTTCGATTAGACTTAGGAGTGTTCCTTCACCTGAGAACAAAAACTTTTGTCACATCTGCGCCAAGGACTGTGACTTGAAAATCGTAGAAAATTTTGATCACGAAACCGTGAGGCGACAAGACATTCTCGGTGGGAAAAAGCCGACCAATCTAGAGCATAGACCAAAAAGTATTTTGATCATTATAAGATTGAAAAGAAAAAGGGGGAAAAGGGGACTGTCCCGCGGTACCTAAGTCTTAAATATCAACTTCGCCCCTGTCCTTTGCGCCAGTCCATTTCAAACTTATCGACGACTTTCTCAGGAAAAAAGAATGTTATATCCGCTGCGATTGACATTGAATGCTTCGAATGCAATCGATCGAAATTCTTTTTGAAGGGAATGTCTCCTCCCTTAGAAGTGGCAGCAGGCAACCCCTGCACGGACTCGGCGCAGTGCGTAAGCTACGCGCAGTGCATGGACATCGGCGGCGTGAACGTGTGCACCTGCGATGACGGACACGTAGAAGTCGACGGACGATGCAGTGAGTTCACGGAAAAAAAGTAAAGAAACATGAATATTTTGTTCGACTCTAAATTTCTCCTTTTAACTGCGCAGAGCTCAATGAATATGAAGCATACCTATTTTCCTACAAATTCGTCTCATCCGGATTTTAAGCGAGGAATTTTGAAATCCGGAATCCTTCGGCAGCCATGGTCGATGGCGGGAAACAAAATAAACTTAATACGGGAAGACTACCTATTTACTTTAAATTAAACTGATGCTTAAATGCACTTTAATTGTAATCGTTTTCACCGACCTCTTCGCCCTAGGAACACTCTGGCAGCCTTATCATGAGCGGTAAAGGTTTTAAACACATTTTGTTGATAATCCTTCCATAACATTTTCGTCTCAGCTCGTTCAACTTTTTATTTTTTAATTAAAAAGTGTGCAGTTGTATCATTGTCGCGTACCGTCAACTGCTTTAACATCGACCATCAACATCTCGAAAAGTGACCACATGCTTTACGAATTAATTTCATGTTATTATATAATATTATATATTATTATATGCTTAGAATGTATTGGTACTATGATAACTATAGTAATTCTAGGGGACAGGTATTTTAATCCATGACACAAATCTCAGTTTGGTACAGATGTCTGCTTCACTTGGATTAAAACTTGGATTCGCGATATTTTTTGCACAGAGGTAGCCTTGGGCGGGGAATGCCAAGATACCGTTGAGTGCGTGGAAAATGCGGAGTGCGTCAGCGATACGTGCCGGTGCATGCAAGGATTCCAGGAGCACTTCGGAGAATGCGGTGAGACGCATTGCAGAATGGCCTTCGCATTTTAATTGCTGCATAATCACATTCAAACCCTTAATACACAAACACACACGCATACCAACAGCTTAAGTCCTTCCCACAACCACTAGAGATGCACATTCCGTTAGCAGAAGAGAGCTGCTCAATGGACTGGAAGGCAACCAGCGCAATGTGTATTGTGAAGGTGGATGCGACGATGCTCAGGGGAGCAACCAACCCCCAACCAACATCCAAAAAAAGAGAGATCAGAGTAGACTCAACTCCGATCTCTCAGAGGTTCTCAAACTTCATGGGTCCACGACCCCGTTTCACGGGGACCAAAAGCTCGCGATCCCCAATTTTCAGGTTCCTGAAGCGAAAGAGAAAATCGAGTACAAACCATCTAAAGAAAAATTATTATTGCATTTCCCTGATTTCACTTCGACCCCTTCGCGACCCCCCTATGACCCATTGGCGACCACCCTGGGGGTTGCGAAACACAGTTTGAGAACCCCTGGAGTATACTCCAGGAGTATACTTCATTTGCACTTCACCTGACAAAACACAATCTATTATAGATGTGTACATAAAATTATTCTTAAAACAGAAAACATACCCAAAGAGTTTATGGGTTTCCACCGAAGTATGAGGTACATCGACTTGAGGCCGGGAGGGGCGAGGGGAAGGGGAGTAAAAAGGGCTGCATGGTTTCCCTCTTGGTTCTCCGTATAGGAGTCCATGTTACCTATAAAACCCCTTTATGGGTTTCAGTGTTCCTCATATGCATCCCGTGCCTCATAATGATACCCATCATTCCCTGGTTACTCAATTTATGGGTATCTTTATGGGTCGAGTTTTTACAGTGTAGAGAGATCTGTCGGGCACGGTTTCCGGTTGAGCATAATTTCACTCGGAGGCTGCTCCCCTGAGCATCGTCACATCCATCTCCACAGTACACGTTGCATCGGTTCCCTTCCAGTCACATGAGCTTAAGCTCTCTCCAGCTAATGGAATGGGCATCTCTGGTGGTTGTGGGATGGACTTGAGCTGTGGAAGCAGTCACCTGACACCTTTTCGGCCATACCCTTTCCGCTTCTTTTAACTTCGCTCTATCGGGAATCCCGAAAAAGATCTATCTATGCTGAAAGTTTTAGCAGGACCGTGCCCCTGATGAGGATCCTGCAGAGCTTTCAAAACTTAATAGGTTCATTTCGCTATAATTTCATTTTCAGTTATCTTTCTGTTTTATATACCTAGTCCTGCCATAAATACTGTTACAAGGTTTTTTTGTAATAACTCTTTTCATATAAAACATACGCTGTATTTGCTAACAGCATTTATTTCCCTACATAATTACTAACATATTACAGAAACATTATTCAAAATGTCCACCCCTGGCCTTCACACATGATTTTAAACGATCAGACCACTCATCCATCGCAGTACGCACCACTTCCATTGGATATTGGCTGCTGATTTTGCAAGGGTTCGCTTGAGACTTTCAATATTTGGATGTCTTCTGTGGTTGGTCATCAGCTCCAACTCTGCCCACAGTTTGCTGTCCAGTGGGCTCCCAGATGGCCAATCGGAGGCCTCGATGAACTCGGGGACATTGCTGGCTAGCCACTCCTGCGTCGTCCTAACCTTGTTAGCAGGTTCGGAGTCTTGCTGGAAGATCCAGTTGCCCCCATTGAACATTGTTTAGCTGAGAGGCTTCACTGACTTCTCTAAGACTTATTCCTGGTACACTTTGGCTGATGTCTTCACTTCTTGCTTGCAGAAATCAGCTTTGTGACACCCTCATAAAACACCCCCCCACCAAACCATGACAGAAGCAGTATGGTGACCTCTCTTCACCTTATGGATGACTTCTGCAGCTTCCCAAGAATTGTGGGCATACACTTGGCCATTTGGCCAGTTGAATTTTTCTTCAACAGTGAAGATTTTCTCATCAGTAAAGACGATTTTATGGTGTCTGTTTTGCGCGTACCTCTGCAGCAACACTTTCGATCGCGACCTCCTGATTTCTTTCAGAGATGGAGTCAGCATGTGTCCTGTGCTTCTTCGGTAAGCACACATCCTTAGGTCACATTTGGCCAGTTGAATTTTTCTTCAACAGTGAAGATTTTCTCATCAGTAAAGACGATTTTATGGTGTCTGTTTTGCGCGTACCTCTGCAGCAACACTTTCAATAGCGACCACCTGATTTCTTTCAGAGATGGAGTCAGCATGTGTCCTGTTCTTCGGTAAGCACACATCCTTAGGTCTGATTTAATCAACCGATACGTGCTTCTAGTCGAGATGGCCATTTCCCTGGACATCACTTTCTGCTTGCATGGAGGATTTCGCTGAAACCTGTTGCTAACTTCGTTGATGACTCGTGGTGTTGAGTAAGTGTAAGAGTAAGTGTAAGAGTGTAAGAGTATTTTCTCTTTCTGGACTTTATAATCAGGGCCATGAATGGCCATGATTAGAAAGTCCATGACCATCATTCTTCTTTTGATCAGAACTGAAGACTAATTTCAAAGTAAATTCTCTAAAAGTCCTAACCCCTTTACCCAACCAAAATGTGGCCATTGGTCAATTTTTCCTTGCTCTTCAATCAGGTTGTTTTTGCTTGGTTGAAGACTGATCCTGATCCAGTAAACAGTGTTGCCATGGAAAGACAACTTGGATGTCCTCTGGTACATATGGCACATTCATCTCTGGTCCTGCCATTCATAGGTTAGAAGTGTTTATTTTTTCTTGGTCTAGGATTTATTTTAATCATATTATTTTCTATCTCATTTTCTTGGTAAGTCTCCAGGTTCCTGGGGGAAATTCCATGTCAGTGGAATTGAAAACACAGC